TGCCGGGAACGGAAAAAAAAAAAAAAAAAAAAAAAAAAAAAAATGGTCCTAATATATTTGGAATCAAGAAGCAATTTTGATCAGTGAATTATTAGGCATTCCCATGTGGCTTTATGAAATTTACAGATATTGTATTGACATACATAAAAATGCATCAGTAAAGATGAGAGCACCGTTTTAGGAACCAAAGTACAGAAAGGGAACATTATAATCATAATTCTGCACATCTCCAAAATTAAATCTCCCCTATTCAAAATAAAGAAGAAAACATGTACTTTAAAATAGAAATTTCAGATGTCTATGTTGTTAATTGTGATGTACATTTTTGTGTAAAGCACTAAAAAGGTACTCACAAGAAGGAATCTTGTGTCATAACTTCTCCTATAAGCAAATATGAATTACTATCTTCAGGAACGCTTTCTCTTCCTTCTCTACTTGTCAAAATACTTGCCATGTTTCAGGCTTTGCTCACAGGCCCTTTCTTTCATAAAGTTCACACCCTTCCAGCCAGCTGGAAATAACCATCCCTCTTTAGAACACTATTAGCACTTGGTATCTCACTCATGGCCCTTAGCACTTTCCTATTGGTCATTTGTGTACATTACTAGATGGTGAGTTTTGGTGGAGAAATTCCCATTCCTCTTTATATTCCAGGCCCTTCCCCTCACCTCCATGCCCTTCCACTTTCTCCTTCCTCAAAGCATCCAGAGCCAAGCCTTGCACTGACTGACTTGGTATTCCCTGGAACCTTTCCCAACATCCTCCCAAACCCCACAGTCCCCTGGGCTTGTTTCTATCAAAGCATTTATTATGGCATATTGCAATCCTCTCTTTATTTGCCTGCTGTCTACATTCAGAGTAAGTTCCTGGGCAGCAACTGTGTCTTTATCTCTGTATATTCAGCTCCTTGCTCATGTAATACTCAATAAATATTTGTAAAATAAAGTGATGAACAAATAAGGTTATATGGGGCTAAAATGATTCAAACATTTGAGAAAGGTTTTGCTTACTGTTTTCTTAATAATAGCTAAAACGACCTGAACACTTACTGGGTGCCAGGCACTGACTGAAGGCATTAAATGAATTGTCTCTTTTACCCTCCTGACAGTCCTAGGAAGCAGGTGCTGCTTCATTATCCTCTTGTGGTAGATGGAGAACCATAGTTAAGAGGAGTTAAGAAACTTTCCTCGGTTCACACAACCGGCAAGTGGTGGAGCTGGGATTTGAAACAGAGTCTACGCTCAAACTACTGTGTTCTGTCTTTTAGCTGGAAAGTATTTCGGAAAATGCCTGCCTCTTTGGTTGACTTGTAGTATTCTTTACTTCAGTCTTCACCATATCACTGATAACTCACTTGATTTGCCTATGGCTCAAATTTGTTAACAACAAGAAATACTGTTATTTTCTTCTCTGGGCTTCCAACGTAGCAGTACACTTGAGTCCACAAAATATCAATTGCATTTATAATCTTACTGACAACCAATCATTTTATAGCTCCTTTGGTGGCAGCTGAGTACAAAGTCTTTTGCACACACATAAGAGGACTCAGTGCTCTCACTGTACAAAGGCTGGGATGGAACTGCCACATCATTATTTCAGTGACTCCAATGTGCCAATTCTGGAGGATCTATGATTCATGATGATCTACGGTAGCCAAAGGTTAAAGTACATCATCATATCTTTCAATTACATAATAAAGTACTTGTTGGAAAAACTTGAGTCTGGAGACTAAGAAGCCAAATGGAATTTTTGGCCATACCACTGTCAGAAAGGTTACTACTTAAACTAGCATTTCAGCTTACTATGAGAGAAAAAAACTGCTGATGGGAAATTTTCTTAGGGTATTTTCTACCCCAGGGTCAAATTAAGTTTTATTCCCTGTGTCTGTTATTTCAAGAATGCTTATCAGCATGAATTTTTTTATCCTTCCAGAGGTACCCCTCTCTTCCCTCCCCATTCGAAGCTCCCATATTTACATTATAAATGAAAGCCCATCAAAATACTTAGATACATATTCATTGCACATCTTCTTTTTTCCATGCTCACTCATCTCCCCTACATAACTATTTGGGCATGACTCTAGCTTTGTCTATAAATCATAAACTAAGTTGGAAAGTTGACAGTTATCTGGTTAAGTTGATTAACACTGACAAGCGAAAGATGCCTGAAATTATAACATGGATCCTTTTTTGGCCTGAAAGGCTAATCCAATTAACTGGATAATTACCAGATTTCCATTTCTGATTTTGGTTGTCTGTATAGATTAAATTAGTCATGTGGCTGCTGAGTCAGTCCTTTATTTTGTGTTGTTTCCAGGCATTGATTAGCTCTCTGAATCTAGCAGTGTACCTCCTGCACACACGCTGAAACTCCAAAAGAAATGTAATACCATGAAAGCTTTCAAATTTGTCATATATTTCTTCAATTATTTGTTTTCCAATGTGCCATTTCCTAGCTATGCTCTGTCTTAGATACATAACAAAGATAAAATGATAATCCCTGTTTGCTGAGAAATTTATTTATTTTTTATTTTTGCTGTTTGGCCAGTTAGTGGAATTTTGCCTTCTCATATTCTTAAAAAAATGTATAAATTAAGGGAATGTTTAGAGGGAGGCATCTTCTTCCTAAAAAAAATACACACACACATATATGAATGATGCCTACTGATCCCAAGGGGAGACTGGCTCCCCAAATTCGTCTGGAAGAGGCACTGCATCTCCTTCCAGACAACTCTCCCCAGTCTCCCTCTAGATTTGGTTTCCTTAGGTTAAAAGCTTAGTTTGTAACCAGGTTGTGCCTGCTGCTGCTCTCTGGAAGCTCTGGGGACTGTGAATTTAGATAAGAGCCCCATGCTCTCAGATGTTCGGAACTCAATTCAGTACTGAATGAAATTATCAGCTTTATGGCCTGGATATAATAAAATTTACTCAGTTCCTGTTGTGAAATAATGAATTTAAGATTATTGCTGTGACAGCCACATGGATTGAACTGAAAAGTTCTGACTTTTTATTACTGTTTTTTTAATGATCGCAAGCCAGCTCAATTTCTAATAGTTTTGACACTTAGCTAATATGGATGCCAGTGCCAGCTGCACTTTGGATATCACTGGTCTACACGAAAGAAACAGAATTTAGGCCCCAGAGGTAGCAGCTGTATAAAAGAAAAAGAGACTTATCCACTTTTCTAGTTCTAGTAAGACAGTAAAAACTAATAGAATTTAAAAAATAATTTTTTTTCCTGTGTTTCACAGTTTACATTGTTCAGCCTGCCAGGAGAAAAATGGCTCTAACACCATTTTATTAGGGATCTTGAGGTCAAGATCAAAACTTCATCTGTAGATGTAGGTGTCATAGAACAACACTTAGCCTTATGCATAGTCCAAAGATTAAATCCAAGAACTGAGTTTCCTGAAATTTTAGGTAAATCTTTATAAATAGTTCAGCCATGGGTGTAGCCTGGAAGGAGAGTGAACATGATGATAGTACAAGAATTTAACCCACTTATGGATCCTCTTGCTTTCTGAAGTATTTAAGACTCAACCAAAAAGACACAGGTCATAGGCATGCATATGTTGCCACTGAGTGAACATTTCTGACTGTTTCTGGGCTCAAGCAATCCAGTTATCAACCTTTAATAATCATGATGTCTAGGGATAGCATACTTCTACATATTTGAAAAGGAAATCACACTGTCATTATTAAAGGAAAGACAACCCAGTTTGCAAAAGAGAACTTCAGAAACTCAGGCTTGGGTCTGTGAAATTGCCAGTGATTTGTCTGAGAATATGATACTGTGGATTTTCAGACACTGAGGTCATTATTCCAATTCCCTTTTAACTGGTACAAACACTATTTTAACATTTCTAACATTTTATGGGTTCATCCAGTGTAATGACTAAAATTGATTGCCAGATAAAGTACCTAGTAAATCTGTCACTAGGCAGAGTATATGTAGGAAGTAAAAATAGTGATTAGAGGCACTTGTTTGGATAATTCAGGCAAAATATTCTCTTCTTCTAAGGCATAAGAGAGTTTTTATGTAGGCTGAATTATTCAGATTGGTATTAATTAGACTCATTGCATAATTACTGAGCTTTATGTTTTACTTGAAAAGTCATGGTTGGTTTTAAGGAGGAATAGAAAGGCATTCAGGATATTTCTGGCACAAATGCTCAGCTATAATTATCATGGACCTTGGAAATTTTTACAGGGAAAATATATCTATCCTCTATTTCTGAATCATGTGACGCATTTGGAATCAACACGGGGTGAAAAACAACAGGCTACTTTCCATAAAATCATCTTTGTACTTTTATCCTTGTTTCTTAAACATGGGCTAAATTATCAAAATGGTAGAAGACACTGTCATTATCCCTGTGCCTATAAATATCAAAGATAAAACAAAGCTAAATCATTTACTCTTGCCACCAGATTACAGTCACTCCTTATTTCAACCTCTTTTCCTTGCATTCTAAAGGAAACCCCAAAGCAGTGCCTGGAGCAAGTTATGCAGAGGTAGCTATCTCAACATCAAATCTTCCAACTGTCTGGGTCTCTCTCTGCCCAAGGCCAACATGAATACATTGGAGGGCCAGAAAACGATGCCCCTATGGAATTTTGTCCATGGCATTATGGCCATGCCTGGGCCCTTGTGCCATCTCAGAAGTGTCAGGGGTAGTGATTGCCATTTTCTTCTGAGAACCTTTTTATTTGCTGTTATCTTAAACCTGGTTAGATTTTGTTTCAAGCAGGGTTGCTGGTAGAAAACATGCTGACGTGTTCAAAAAGAATGTTCCTGATTTCTCTTCCTTGGGAAATACTTATTTTCACAGAAATCCCAGCTTGTGTCAGTGCTTTGCTCCCTTGTGCTATGCCCATCATGTTCAGACCCTTCATGGTCAGTCTCCCTAAATTTCATATTCTGGTGGTCTAGCTTCTTAGAAGTTTAAATAGCTTCTTTTCACAAAAAATAAATTCCAGCTCTGGAGTAAGATCTCTTTCTCCCGGAATTAATAGGGGTGAGAATCTGACCTTTCCTGCAACTTATTTAACCAATCTGATAAATGATGCATTTTTGCTTCATTTGTGATTTTCCTTTTTTTCTCCCCAGGTCAAAGGGTTCTACTCATATCAAAATGAGCCAGTAGCCGTAGAAAATCTCAAGAGAGGGCTGGCTAGCTTATTTCAGATGCAGTTAAGCTCCGGAACCACCAATGAGGTACTTACTAATATTATTAAGGATTCAGCATCTTATTCATCAATAATGTTACCAAAATTGTTTATAGGATTTCTACTTGTATAAATTCAGTAGAAAAGTTACTACTATGGTAATTCTCAGAAAAGGTGAGAAGGGTAGTCAAGTCTCATTTACGTATGAAACAATTGCCATGTGCCACAACGTTTATTACTTACAGTGTAAAGAGAATTAGAATCAGCTATCCTAAGGGGACTTATATAGTAACTGAATGTTAGATATGCAGAGAACCATGGGGATCATGCCAGTGGTTCCCAGACATAACTGTGTACCACTATACCATGGGGAGATTATTAAAAATACAGATTCCCTGGATTCACCCCAGAGATTGTCATTCAATAGATTAGGGAGGATCTGAGCACCTGTATTTTAACAGTCTTCTTGGGTTATTTGGATACACTGTCAGTGTGGGGTACATTGGTCCATACCAATCCCTGTCATTTCACAAAGAAACTGAGGTTAAACTAGAAAAGTTAAGTGGATCACCCAGTATCACACCTGGAGTCAAGACTGGATTCGAAGTTTCCTAATTTGAATTCAGCCAGCCCACAAGTGGATGAGAAAATCTGTGGACATGGCTGGGCCAGGGGAATGTTGGTTAGCTTGCTAGAATAGATTCCAGGTAGGGCCGACCCCATGGCTCACTCGGGAGAGTGCGGCGCTGGGAGCGCAGCGGTGCTGGTAGTGTCGAGGCCGCAGGTTCGGATCCTATATAGGGATGGCCAGTGCGCTCACTGGCTGAGCGTGGTGCAGGCGACACCAAGCCAAGGGTTGCAATCCCCTTACCGGTCACAAAAAGGACAAAAAAAAAAAAGAGAAAGTGCTAGTAAGATTCAAAGACAATTGAAAAGAATCAACATGCTACAGGAAACCTTGAGTTCTTGTCTTTTTATCCTGTCATCCTGGGAAAAAAGGCAGTTCCCAATGATGTATAAGGGACCTCCTAGAATTCAAATGGTACATGCAGAATTCCAAGTATTATGATCTTGCTTTTATTTTTAGGTAGATATTTCTGGGGACTGTAAAGTGACATACCAGGCTCATCAAGACAAAGTGATCAAAATTAAAGCTTTGGATTCATGCAAAATAGCAAGGTCTGGATTTACAACCCCAAATCAGGTATGAGCAATATCATTCTCTTTGAGGCATTCAAATAATTACATTTTGTAGAGATTAATTTAAAGTAATTGAAAAATAAGGTAACAATATAATTTGGAAACACTTATAATTTTTAGTCTAGGTTATAGTTGCACACATATCAAATGAATGGACTTATTTCATATGTTGTAGGCATGGAATGGGGGGGAAAGGGTATAAGGGGGAAGCTCTTTTGAAGATTGAAAGATAGTTTGCTACTTGACTCTCTTCAAAAATTAAAAGCTGATTACTTGTTACAAAACGGCTATTTATTTATTTATTTAGGTCTTGGGTGTCAGTTCGAAAGCCACATCTGTCACTACCTATAAGATAGAAGACAGCTTTGTTATAGCTGTGCTCGCAGAAGAGACACATGCTTTTGGGCTGAATTTCCTACAAACCATTACAGGAAAAATAGTATCAAAGTAAGATAATGCTGAAATTTGTATTTTCTTTGGTATTATTTGATAATATATTATTATATTTGGTTTGTAAATAGATATGTGTGTGTGTGTGTGTGTGTGTGTGTATTGTGCTTCCTCATTTTGACTGTGAACTCCTGGAAAACTGATTATATTTTATTCATCTTTATTTTTCACATCACCTACAATAATATGTGGCACATAGTAAGTAATGTTCCTTAATAGAATTTTATTAAAAATGAATTACTTATTGAATAGAATTTAAATTTTAAAAAGACAAACTACTTAATTCATTCTAGTTCATTTTCTAATTTCTCTATCAAATGTTTTTAATGTAAGGTTAAAAAATGGTGGCATTTGCATTTTCTTTCCTTGAGAGTTTTTTTTTATTATTGTTATTAAGAAACATAAAAAGCTCCAAAATTTTTCATGTGACTTATAACACTTAAATATTTAAGCCTGTTATTTCAATTTGAGACCATTTCTCTGGTCAGAAGTTCTAACAGGATTAAGAGCTGGGATTTCAAGTCTAAGTTTGTATTATTTTCAGATATTAATTCAGAAAAGAATGTTTTCTAGCATTAAAAGTATTATACCTCATACCATTCCTTCTCACAAATTTCCTCTTAAGTAGCCCTAATGTAAGAAAAAATGAATGCAAAATCTTGGAAGAAATGCCTCAAACCATAAATGCTTGAAATTTTATGGAAGTCTCATCTGGAGTACAATTTTGCATTCTACTTTATACAATATATTGTTTTCATATATTTCCACATAAAATAGGTGTTTTTAACTACTTATCAGGTCTGCCAGGTTTCCGTAGCTATGTAACAAAGCACCCTAAATTTAGTGGTATAAAAAGCAATAATCATTGTATTATCTTCTCTCATAGTTTGGGGGTTTGCCTTGGCCTAGCTAAATATGCCTTGCTCAGCATCTGTTATGCTGTTGCAGACAGTCACTGGGTAGAGCTGGAATTATTCAAAAGTTGCTCCCTCATGTATCTGGTGCCTGGGCTGGGAAGACTCAAACAACCGAGGATCCTCCTGCACCCCTCTTCATCTCCATGTGGTCTCTCAGCATGGCAGTTTCAGGTAGCCAGACTTCTTATGTGGCAGCTCAAGGTCCAACGGCATATGTGCTGATTGTGTGCCATGCCAAAATTCGGATGAAAGCTGAATTTCCTTTTATAACATAGCCCTGGAAGTCACATAGTATCACTTCTACTGTCCTCTATTAGTTGGGCAATCACAGAGTCCTACCCAGGTCTGAGGAAAGAGATGTAAACCCTATGTTTTGATGGCAGAGAGACAAGATTCTAGAAGAGCTTGTCTGACAAAAATATCATTGAGGTCATTTTTGGAAATAAGCTTTCCTCACTGTCTTGGTTAATAAATGACATGTGGTTGTTTTGAAGATACATTTTCAGAAAACTGGGTTAAATTCAAAAGAGCTGACAACCCATATCTTGTTCAGTATCTAGGCAAATTTTCTTCCCTGTATTCTCTTGTCACAATATTTTGAAAATCTAGACTTAAATTTTCAAATCTTTGAATAAAATTGTTGGTCCAGAAAGACTTCATAATTATCTTGAGGTTTCATTTTCCTCTAGAGATATTGAAGTGTGAAAGACATGGCTGTATATACAACTTGAATAAATTAGTATCTTGTTTGGCAAAAGAATGGCAATTAGTATATTGTTCACTCAGAAAAATTCTTATAATGTGGTATTTCTCTTTGGCATTATGCAGGCAAAAATTAGAGCTGAAGACAACAGAAGCAGGCTCAAGACTGAAACCTGGAAAGCAGGTTGCAGCCATAATTAAAGCAGTTGATTCAAAGTACATGGCCATTCCCATTGTGGGACAGGTCTTCCAGAGTGAGTGCAAAGGTTGCCCTTCTGTAAGTGTGAACAAATATGGGAATAATCATAGCTTCAAACTCTATTTTCCTTTAGTCTCCAGTGAAAGCATCAGCTAATTTTATGAAGAAAGTTTCTAAAGAGCTACCAGCCACCATAGAGGTATGATGACAGTAGCCTGACAATATATTCCTGAGATGATGAATAATACAACAATAATTAACAAATAATTACCATCCACTCATCTCAAATAAAAAATGTTATGACCTAAGGACAGCCTTTTAAAAGTTGTACCTAGAATTGGGGGAGGAGGGGCAGTGCGGATAAAGGTCTTAATGCAGTAAGGGGAAACATATGGTGTCAATAACATGGACAAGGGTCTGAATCACAAAAGTTCTGTCCCTTAATAGTGATTTGTCCACTGGTGAGATACTTTACTGACCTCAAAATTCTGAGTATTGCTGTGAGGACTAAAAATAGTAGCAAACTCTCTGCCTAAATTAGGAAACACTTTTTTACCATATTCCAACCTCCCCTACAATTATAGCCAGAAATGAGATATCCCATCTTCAAGGCAAAGTAGATCATCTTGTAATATTTTTAATCCAATGAAAAATTTCATTTATTGCATGAATAAGTTGTGAAGTATGTCCACAGAAATGACTTTTAAGTCCTGCATTTCCTAATATTTAACCTATTGTCAGGAGAGCAAACCCCAGGCTTCATGCTCTGTGGGTAGCTGCTAGAAGATCCTCTTCCCTTGGACATTAATGGTAATCAGAAAAGTGGAATCCATAGTTTGCTTAAAATACAAGGCATTAATTTCTTATTCCTTTCTAAAATTTTTTACCAAATTGAATTAGAGGAAAGCCAAAACATTTTAAAACACAAAATCGTCATTTTCAAACTTTCTTTTTATTTCTTTTTCTTCCATGTCATTTAATGTTCTGATGTAATTCTCTAATGTCATATGAGATGAAAATTATTTAAGAAAGTGACTAATGAAACTAATCATCTTTTTTCTGTGCTGTGAAATATTAATTTCTCTTCCCATAGTTATTAAACATTATAAGCCATATAAGATTTTTCATAATTATTGTAGGAAGGGTTTATCTCACCGAAGAATTTGCTTTTCCAACTTCAGTATAATGTCACTAATGCAACTCTTTAAGGCAAATAACAAAAAACCTGAATTCACTCTGATATGCTCTCTGCCTTCAGAAATGACTCAGTAAATGTTTAGCAAAGTATAGCTGGAATTTTGCTTTGGAATATGCTCTTAAGATTTGATAGCTAAAAGGGATTTGAAAAAGAGAAAATAAGTGTCTACTGCTTATTAAAAGAAATGAATAACTTAAATCAGTAGCAGGCTGATTACCCCAGAGTTACAGTTGGAAGTCACTGATAGAATTTAACACATTATGTACAACTAGCAGAAAAATAATATAACTATGAAAAATAAGTTCCTTAGTTTGTTTCAAAGTCAAGAGACATCATTAATTTGAATTATTTATTATTTTTAATACCACAGTAGAATAACTGCAATGTGTATGAGAATTAGGTTTATTTAAATACTACTCTACTAAACATAGATATACGAAGTTCACAACTCAGACCTCAGCAATAGTAAAACATTGAATTTCATACAAACAATGTAATAAAGAGGTAGGATACAGAAGTCAAGCTGTTGCAAAAATTGATTTTCAGTGAGGTGCTGGTAAGTTAGAAGCCTGACGCACCTCTTCAGCCATTCTGATTTTTTTCCCTCCAAAATATCCCATTGTTAATTAAAATTTTACACAATTTCACTATGATAATCAAAGCCTGGCCTCAGATATAATTCCCTTGGGGTAGGCATGGAATGACCTATATGTCCAGAAACCATTTAATTTTGTCCAAGGTCTGTCAAGCCAAATACTAATAGACAAAAACAGTTCTCCTATAGAAAAATGGTACACAGGCTCAGCAGGCCTCTCTTTATTTGTCTCTGGAAGTCACAGAGGTGTGATATAAGCAGGGGCCATCAGGTATATTGAGGTAGAATACAGAAAGCTTCTATTGCTTATCAGATACACAAAAATTTTATTTCTGGGGAGAACATCTTTTGTAAATGTGGATGTTTGGAATTATGAGTGGGGTATGAGCCTGCAGTAATGTTTTGCAGCTCCTGAAGCGCTGGCAGTCCATAAGGAAACACCTGCAGCCTGACAACCTCTCCAAGGCTGAGGCTGTCACACACTTCCTGGCCTTCGTACAGCACCTCAGGACTGCGAAGAAAGAAGAGATCCTTCAAATACTGAAGACTGAAAACAAGGAAGTACTGTAAGTTCCCCAAACTTTGTGTGGAGTTGTCTGTCAGGAAAACATTTCTGGGTTGTTGTTATTTTTTACATAAGGAAAACCCCTTTTAAATCAACTACCCCACCTCCAAATCAATTACTCTGTTCTGCATTTTCATTAACCAGTACTGAAGTAAATACTATTTTTAGCTCCATTTTACAGATGAAGAAACTAAAGACAGGTTACACACCTAAAATTTCTGGACCAGTGCTTGCACATTAGAAACTCAATAAGTATTATGTTTCTCTGTCTCTGCTTCATTCACTAGGTTTCTGTCAGAATCAAAATGATATAGCATTCATTTTTTATAGCATATCATTTTTTAAAAGTATAAAGTATTAATCACATGGCTAGTGTGTTTATATGAATGTTGTATATAATATTTACATAATATATTCATTAGTATGAAAACTAGTTTCAGAAATTTTACCATCCTAGACGAAACCAAACAAGGATTTTTGATGACTAGAATATGTAACTAGAATTTTCCTATAGGTGCTCCCTCCTGCTAACACATAGTCATTGTGGTTGAACATAGAACTATACCAGGGTGTTTTTAATTTTTTTTTTAAAAACGAAAACTTTCCCCTTGGATATAAATTAAGGTTAAAAGAATCTCCCATCTTTCCATTGAATAATACCACTTTAGTTAAATTAGGCATTTGAGAAATATGTGTATTTACAAAGCTGACTAAAAAAAGAGAATCAATTTTGGGTATCATAGTTTTTATGTATTACTCATATAGAAAAGAACTTGAACCTAATTAATAATTTTACTGATATAATCTTTATTTACAAATCTCCAAATTATATTTGGCTTAGGTTAATATAATAAAATAAGTTTGTATATTCTGAGTATCCATTGTTTGAATGAGAGGGAGGGGAGTTAAGGGAGAGGTTTAAAATAAAATGGGGGTGTCTTTTTGAGAAAGTCTTATTTATTTATTTTTGCTCAAATATAAAAATTCACTTCTTTAGGAAACTCAGACCAATGAAGATCTGTGAATGGTAGAAATTTTTAATAGTTCCTTAAGCTCCCTAAACATTGATATCTGTGACTATGCCTTTTTTATAGACCTCAGCTGGTGGATGCTGTCACCTCTGCTCAGACCCCAGACTCACTAGAAGCCATTTTGGACTTTTTGGATTTCAAAAGTGACAGTAGCATTATCCTCCAGGAGAGGTTTCTCTATGCCTGTGGATTTGCTTCCCATCCCAGTGAAGAACTCCTGAGAGCCCTCATTGTAAGTCAAATGGACACTGGGAAAATAAAGGTTCTCAGCTGCTAATAAAAACTCTTAAGAATGTAAGCAGTAATTAAAACTTGCTCAGATCAGAATGAAGGCTACAAACTAGAGACTTCTGAGTATTCATATGCAAATTCTATTGAACCATTTTCTATCTATTTTTTTTTTTTTTTTTTTTTTTTTTTTTTTTTTTTTTTTTTCCGTGTCCGGCAACGGACCCCAACCCCCAGTTTTCCCCCCCCCCCGGCCCGGGG